TTGTTCCATAACAGTTATTAGATGAGAAATATTTTGTATTTCTCCGATAAGAGTTATAACCCAACGTTTACTTTTCACTTTGCCTGATAACTTTTATTTCTTACGTTGTCTGATAACAGTTATTTCACTTCTTCACTTTTATTTTCATCATCTTTATCTTCTTCTCCATCTCCATTTTCGTCATTATTCTTATCTTATAACGTTTATGACACAACGTAAATAATAAACGTTGGACAATTACTGTTATCAAACAACGTAAAAAATAAACATTGGATTATAACTCTTCTTGGCGAAATAAGAAATATTTTTCATCTAATAACTGTTATGAAACAACGTTTTCGTTAAATTTCAGAATTCGGGCAACGTTTTCAATTTGTAAATTCGAGATAACAGTTATTTTTGGTCCCTTGGTAATTTGGTTATCGATCATCTCCTACTTGTCATTTTTCGTATGCATATTTTAATTTTGTATTAAATCCTTAACAGTTCATAAAAGAGAAGGGAGTTCTCAAAGAAGTCCAATGTGGCGAAGCTTAATGTTTGCATTGGAAGAAATGTCAAAAATATGCCTTTTGACTAAAAGGAAGTAGTAAAGAAACTACCTCTTTTTTTTCATAGTTTATTTCAAGTCGAATTCAAATAAGGTAGTGTTGCCAGAACGGCTGATTTTATTCGCCTCGGTACACATTGGTCAAAATTTCTTATGAGTGAGCGAGAAAGTGAGAGTGTTGGAATGTTCTTTCCCTCTTCTTCCTTGAGCAAAAATAGCTGAAATTTAACACTTCGTACCAAAAGCAAAAACAAAGTGCATGTAAGTTTTTGTTTTTGTACTACCGCTACAACCTTATATGAATTCGCCTTGGCTTATTTACTTATATGTACATGAATTTATTCTGTCTACTAAAATTACAACTTCTTGCTGTAAATTGTTAAAGACATAGATATGGATTCACTTACGTAAGACATAAGCACATTTTACTTAACTTATTTTCGCAATGTAAGACAATATTTTTGCTAAACAGCCTCCATTTTTATGCTTAATCCTAATAAAGCACTGACTATTAATTATGATTTCACGCCGATGAACTAAAATGACTACATTTGTGATAAGACTAAAAAAAATATATTTTTGCCTGTTTTGAATATTAACTCGTACATTGAGCATATTTATTTGGCCTCGGATGAATCATGAATCTTTTTTGCGTCTTGTATTAACTTGTATAAATTTAGTTGAGTATGTATGTGAACATGCATAAATATATACGAAATCATTGCCTTAATACCACTCAGCTACGTCCGAAATGCTTAACATTTGTGGCCACATTGCTTTAGCAATCAATACAACTTGTCCTGTCATTTATCATTTGGGCAATTGTAGCAAAATTTTTTATTAGAACTAAGCAAAGTATGTACATATGTGCATACATACATACTTAGGTACATAGTTTTTTTCATGTAAATAGCTTTTACGTTGAATGTGTGATAGTTTGAATGCGTGCATATAGTCCTATGGATGTGAAAACAATACATATATATTTTTGTCACTATTTTTATGTTCTCAGTCCACATTAAGTTCTGAACACATTGAAAACGACGAGCTACCGACCACAGCTTCCAATTTGTCATCTTTATTATCTAAGCGCTTTGTCGATGGCAACATGATTTCTTTGAACGCGGCAGCGACATCATGAATTTGTATGAGTTTGACATAAAAGAAGAGGAAGAACCTTATCTGTCGCCAGAAAAATAGAAATAGATCTAATCTGGCCACAACCACAGCCGTCGCGTAGCCCGGTCGTCGCCAAAATAATTATCTACATAAGAGTACGTGTTAAAATAATTTGACAGCTGTGGTTTGTAGCTCGTCGTTTTCATTGTGTTCGGGCTATTACTTTTTTTCAAAATATGTGCTTCAAATCATTCACTATTTTTCTCTTTCTCTCTCGCTTCCCTCTCTTTTCTTAGGCAGCACATCGAATCCCGA